CTTTTAAGGCGATTACATCAGAGGTGGAGGTCATTTTGTGCTTGCTCAAGAACAGGATTGGGAAGCAGAAGAAGACCAATTTACCTACAATCCTTATGAAGCATTCCTTGGTGACATGAGTCAAATGACAGTCTGGAACACAGTGTTGTCTTCGCAAGATGTTTATAATCTAGCTGGGAGCTGTATGAATGCTAGAAATGATGCTGTAGTTATATCGTGGGCTGACTTTCTCCCTGGATTTACTGGAGATTATAGGAAGACACCAAGGTCAAACGCTTGCCACTGTAAGTTGCCAATGTCACATGGATTACTGGTGTGACTAATTGCATCTCACTAAATCTACTGTATTTTTATATGTTTGTGATTTTGCTCTGAATGTGTCCACATCAGGCAAGCTGAAAAGTTTGCTTGACCGCGGTGGGAATCGTGCCCGCGACCTTTGGTTCGCTAGTCTAATAATGGCTCTACCAACTGAGCTACGAGTAGCAGTAACAGTAGCTGTTACAATTACCCAACTGTTGCAAATACCAAGTCATATACGTTATAGTATAAGTATACTCGCAAAAGATCCACCTCATGATTATTTTTTAAAGGTAGCTGTGAAATTTATTTTTTCTATCTTTTAGTCTCTGCCACACTTCGTGGATATGACACAGTATACAACGCCATCCTCCCATCCAACAACCACAGAACGTTGCACGGTGTCTCACCAGATGATTGTGGAAAGTCATGTAACCAAGAAACTGGATTTCAATGTAGATCGTTTGACTACCACAGTTCTTCACGGAAATGTTATCTAAGTAAAGCCTACCGTGATACTGTTGCTGTCTCACACCCAGATAATACTGGATATGATTACTATGAGCTGAGTAAGTATAAATACTCCGATTTAGGTAACGCTGAACATGCAATATTTAATGAATTCTTGTATTTCATTTGGCATCAAATCCACTTAAGTGGGGGTCATAATTATGTCTGTGTCCAGGGTAAAGGACGGCTTTCACGTTGTTTATATTGTTTTATATTGGCTTTTATACAGGGTGTATAAAAAAAAACTGAACAGATTTGAAATTGCTCTCAATTTCGCAAAACACCTATTTGTATCTGTTTTTTTATATATATAGCTTCTTTGGGTACTTATAATGTAAAATAATGAAAAAAATTTCTCGAACTCAAATTTTGTGAACCAGGGGGGTGTGTCTTTTCCACCAAACTAAAAATGACTCGCGCACAAAATTTAAAAGCTGTAATAATATTTTGAGTTAATAGATTGAAAATTTGTTGGGTGTTTAATTACTGTACAAAATTTCAAACAATTTGGTTTAGTTTAAGCCCTTTAACTATTCATTTTGTTCTAAAAAGTCAGCCTTTCGCATGCTTAATTAATGCCTTTACCTAATTTGCATATTGCTGACATATGCAAATTAGGCAAATGCATTAATTAAGCATGCAAATAGCCGATTTTTCGGGAAAATTGTAACTTTGCGTGAATAGTTAAGGGGCTTAAACTAAACCAAATTGTCTGAAATTTTGTACAGTAATTAAAATCCCGACAAATTTTCTATCTGTTAACTCAAAATATGATTGCAGCTTTTAAATTTTGTGCGCGAGCCATTTTTAGTTTGTTGGAAAAGACACCCCCCCCTGGTTCACAAAATTTGAGTTCGAGAAATTTTTTTCATTATTTTACATTATAAGTACCCAAAGAAGCTATATATATATAAAAAACCAGATACAAATAGCTGTTTTGCGAAATTGAGAGCAATTTTAAATCTGTTCAGTTTTTTTTTATACACCCTGTATAGTTGTTAGTGAACTCGTGGGATGCGTTGCCAGCCCAGTTTTGTTGACCCCAGATCAATGGTTAACCCCCACTTGAGTAAAATTCTGATAATATATCACGTCATCGAAACCCAAGAATTAAAGAATGTGACTGCCCGAAAATAAAGTTATATAGTAAAACTTTAAACGAAAGCCCTTTGTCAGAAATTTATGTATACTACCAACAGTCGGAAGGAAGCAGTCGATTTACGCACATACCCCCCCCCCC